CAATCCAGCTAGAAACTCAACTTCATAATGGTAATATGTAGTAACTATGTAAATAAATAGTGCCTGAATAGACTTTCATTCTACCTAGCTAATGTCTTTTTGTGCGAATTTATAACTGGTATACAAATAATTTCCAACTTTCTCCTTAACAACAAAGGGTAATAATGGTGAGTACAAACACTATTGTCAGTAAATGTCTTTCCCTTCAAGAACATTTACTAAATATGATGTAACTATGGTTTCAATTGCAACTTTGAACTAAGGTTGAACTTTATTTGGAATTTAAAGTTTCTATTCTTATGTTGTGTTTCGTCTTCTAGCAAAATGATGAATTAGTATTGAATTTTTATTTCAGCAATCACACTTTTAAATTCCAGGATCTATTTGTTTATTGCATGTTCTTTCTTATTATCCCTTTCTTATTTTGCAGATATGATATGCTCTTTTTCTGAAGGTATTTAGTTTGTTTTTTCTTTTTTTCTATGCTTATCTGTTTCCTTTGGATTTCCCCTCTCCTCGTTAATTAGGCCCCTCTTGTTTATTTGGAGGCTTTCACCAAGTGTCTAGTGATACTTGGCTTTTTCATGGGTAGTGATTTTTGGCTGTTGGTCTTCAATGTAGACTCCTTAAGTGTTAAGCCAAACTTTTCATCAACGTCTTTTAATTGTATTTGGAGGGAAAAATTTGTTTAAATTATCATCCATAGTAACATGAAAGATAGAAAATGTACCTAATGCATTCTAGCATTCAGTGAGATTTTTGAGGCAGAATTTTTGAAAGAATAAGCTGGCTGCTATTGGCTGTAATTGATAAGATTAAAAGAAAGAGACAAGCTCAAAAATAAGGTGGTAAGTATGTAAATGGAACTGAAAGGGAATACAGAGCCTAGGATGTATGAAAAATTTTCTCACCAAATCAAACGTGTCATCATTAAATACAACCTTAGGACAAAGACCAAATACAAGATACTGCCATTACCATAGCTTCCAGGAAAAGACCAAACAAGTTTAGACCTCTGAAAGGGTTAGAGGGATGTCTTTCAACTGAACCAAAGAGCACCTAAAAAGATTAATGGAACAAGAAGCTTAATATGCTCAAGACATACATATCTCTACAAATAGTCACGGGTACTTTGAGCATCTTTGAGCAATAGTTAGTGACTATTTCTTTAATTTCTTTCGCTGTAGTTCTCCAGACCTTTAATCACCCACTAATTCCCATATTTGGGTGAACCCTAATTCTTTATTAAATTTCTTTATTCATGTAATATTTGTAATGAATCTGCTTTCCTCACAAAATCCAGACTAAAGTACCTGGCTTTCCTAGAAGAGAGTCTGAGGCAAAAATTAAATCTGTTACTTTATTAGAAGGTACAAATCCAGGTTGGTAAGAGTGAGAAAAAAAGGAAGGAAAGCTAGTAAAGATAAGAACTAACTGCACATTGATAAATTACTGTATAGCACTTCGTTACATGAAAAGCCATGAAAAGGCACTGCCAATCCCTCGACAAGTATACTTGCTTCGCCACACGGTACAACTGTGGAGAAGAGGGTGAAAAACTATGCTTCAAAACAGTCTCTAAGAAAAAAAAAAAAGGAATTTATGAGAGCTTCTTCTAGTCCATTGATCCTAGTCTCCCTGACAGATAACTTCACTGCTCTTACAGATTGCTTCATTTTGCCCTTTTGACCCTTTTCCCCACTGTGGAAACCCTGTGGCATGGTGCTTCCTAGAGTCACAAGTGTTGGGATGGGCCAGGGTTTTGGAGCATGTGGCTAGTTGACTTCAGGCAGAGGAATCACACAAGCCTGCCAATAGTCTATCATTTCGTAGGGTGGTAGCTATGGCAAAGCAAGTGGTAGATGGCGCAGTAAACATAAAGGCCAAGAATCTGAGAAGGTGCTTGAGGAAGATATGCCTGGTACTGTATCCAAGGATGAAATATCCAATGGCACAATAATGCTGTTTAATAAACAGCTATAAAACTTCAGCGGCACAACAACAGGTACATCTTACTCACACCGCTGCAATCAGGTAGGATTCAGTTAGAGGGCTCTATAGACCTTGGCTGGGATCATTCACATACCTGGGGGTTGAATGGCTATAAGCCAGTCTAGACAGGATTGAGCTAGTGTCACCAGGGTAACTGGGCTCTGCTGCATGGGTGTGTCACCTTCCAGCAGGCCAACCTAGGCGTGCACATGCTTATGGCAACAGGGGAAGCACAAGAGTCAGTGGAAATGTGCTAGATGTTTGGAACTGCATATGGCACAAAATCAAAGTGAGAGGGTACTTCAAAGGAGCATGAAAAAGGACGATGAATATAAGGAAGAGTAGAGAATTAGGACCATTTTTGCAGTCTATTATACCAAAGAAAAACAAGTACAGCCAATTCATTGTTCTAACAGGTATTAACTATCATTTTGGGGGAAGAACTTGAGATTTTATCTAGCCTTAGGCTCTTATGAAGTAAATTAGGCTCTTATGAAGTATGTGTGTCATCTTTTTTTTTAAAGTATAGTTGGTATACAATATATTAGTTATATTAGTTTCAGGTGTACAATATAGTGATTCAACATTTTTATACATTAAAGGGTAATAACTCCACTAATTCTGGTAATCTGTCACCATGCAAACTTATCATGATATTATTGACTGACTATATTCTCCTTGACCTTTTCACCCATTCCCCTCCCCTCCCCTCTTCCCTCTGGCAACCATCCTTTTGGTCTGCGTTTCTATATAGGTCATTTTTCTTATGCCAGCTGTTATGATGGGGGCAAATGAGTGATAGGATTGTTGTTCTTTTTTTTTCTCTCTCTTAACTGTTATGTCACTTGGTGTATAGAGCCAGTTAAATGACAATAGATTTTGGCTCAGAGAAGTCCATATTAGCCCAAGAAATTCAAGCTTGGTCTTGCTTAAATAATTCAAGTCTTCTTCCATTTCCAGTGCTAAGTTCTAAACATGAAGAAATCCATTTCAATTCCATTCTTGTAAAATAACTGATAAATAAACAAGCCAGTTAGTTTATCTGGCTAAGGCCATGGGAGTAGTAACATCCAAACCTTATATAATCCACTTTCCTTTTTCATGAAAGCATAATAAAATGGTGACTTCATTTAACTATCAGAAATACCAGCTTCTAGATGACGTTCTACCACTAACTAGTTGTGGGGCCGACCTGTGGGCAAGTTACTTAATCCCTTCAGGCCTCAGTTGCCATATTTACATAAAATAATATCTATGCAATATTCCAAATATCCTATTTCTACAGTATGTTAGTAGCCATTACTTACTCAATTAATAAATTCTAGCTTAAAGTTCAAAAGGTTTATTCCAGGACTTTTCAGCACTTTTATGCTATGCCTGTTGAATCTCTAAGAGGGGAATATAATGTGCAGCAAACAAATTTTACTACTTTTTTTTTCATGAAACATGTTATATGTCCCACTGAATATACTTTTGGGAAATGTACTATTATTTCTAGCATCCACATGGGTGAATTTACCAGTCAGGGTCCCAGAAAGAAATGAAGGGCAAGTTTAAATGGGGACATTTGAAAACATGACTATTTTCGAAGATGTAGGCAGGATTTAGGGAAACCAACAAGGGGTAATAAACTACCATGGGGCTAGTAACACCTAGGTGCATAATATCCCTAAGTGAAAAGGGCTTGACAGAGGGACCTGAAATTAGAGAAGGTAATGAGGATAACTGCTTGAAAAAGGGTGCCAGATAGGATGACCTTCAGTAAAGGGACACAGCCAACCTATGGTGACCTGGTAGGGAAGGAGGTAGGGAAATAAATAACACAATTTCAATTTCCTTTAAATCTCCAATCTCTTGCTGGTTCATCTCATTTTTGGAAACCAACCAAAATCCAGAGAGCAAGGGAACCTACCTCACATTGCAGACAGCAGAATGGAAGAGTGGAGGGAGGATCCAGAGGGGCAAACAGAAGCTATCCAGAACAGTAGGCCTCCATTCACAAGCACCCTGATTACATGATTAAATGATGTCCTCAGGACTCAGTCTTTTATCTCTCCACTCTGCTTTCCTCTGCTGGCTTCATTCTAAGGCAGGCTCTTGCCACCTGCAGCACAGATGCCACCAGGAGCTCTAGGGTTATCTCACTTAGTGTACAATTCAAAATAAAGTAATAAAAAGAGTAAACATATATATAGCACTTACTGCATTCCAGATGCTGTTGAAAGTCATTTTAGATATATTAACTCAGTTAATCCTCATAATTATCCTATAAGGTAGCTATTGTATTATCCTCTCTTTAGAGATGAAGAAACTGACACATGACTGGTAGGTAGAAAAGGAAAAGCTAAGATTTAGATTCAAGTAAAACTCTAGGACCTGTGCTTTTAAATACTGTGCCACAGTGCTTTTTGAAAAATAAGCCCTATCTCCTACAGCATCTATACCACTTATCAAAAAGGATGATGGTTCGTGTGCTCATCCCTGAATCAATCGCTGGGCACTGTGCTTGCTAAACTGGGTCATATGTCCATCCCTATAGCAGGACACCATGACTGCTAGTAATTTCTTCCTAAAAAAGGATGCCAGACATATAAAAAGTAACAAATGTCCATCAAAGTCACTGCAGATTTACAAAACTAGCCCTAGGGATCAGAGCTACAATTCTAGTTCTGATTATGTTTGCCATTAACCTCAAGGAAATAACCTATCACTTCATTTTCAGGAAGGAGATTCTGACCCCATCTACCTCCAAACATGGTAGTGAGTATAGGTGAAAAGATATCTAAACAGATTTCTAAATATATCCAAATGCATAGACTTAAATATAACACATTAAAATATAGTAATAAAATTGACATGCCAAACTTGAGCAGATAACTTCTGAAACTAATTTTTCAGTCAACATTATCTCTGAAAATTCCTTTAGAAATAACTTCCTTTTAACAAGCAAGCGGCAAAATGAATGAAGCCTTATTTTTTCAAGTGGTCTTACAGACATTACACATGAATAATTTTTAAGAATAAACAGCACAATTACAAGTTTATTGATTTTAGCAAAATAAAATGACATAAGTGGCTTCTTAAAAACTAATAAGTAAGTTTTCTTGTTTTCTTGTCTCCAGAGCATTTGGCACTCTTTATTAACTGGTACATAAAAGAGTAGAAAAATAAAAGATTGTCATATTGTCCTTTGTATTTCTCTTTTAATATATCAGTATGGTAGTCTACCAGAAAGTAGTAAATGGCTTCAATTGTAGAAAGGAAGGTATCTGGCTTTCCTTTTTGATGACGCCAAAAGCAAGTTTTTCTTGTTTTCAACTCAACTTGTAACAACCCTGCCAAAAACAAATAAGAAAAGTATAAATATTTCTTCTTAACCACAGGGTGTGGTACAATAAGGATTTCTCTTAATTAAGGATTTTTTTAAAGAGCCCTGATTTAAAAGATATTTTCTTAAATGCATTTAGGTATATACAGAAGCAATATAAAACAGAGAATGAAATCTTACACGTGACAGTTACCTATATGTATTGGACTTTGAAGCAATGGGTGAAAAGTAGTTAACATTCAAGAGAATCATTCCTTTCCATCTTCTCCCTACCACTGTCTTTTTAAAATTTTAATCCATGACAGGACTAAATTCACCAGTCTTCAGAAGGGGTTCATTTCCTTAATAAACTGACATTTAAAACATCATTCTGAAACTCAAGACAGACGAGCAGGTTGATGGTCTTTAGTACTTCTAGATTATCACTTTTTGGCTATATTTTTATGAACACGGTATTTAGAGCTATTTCATTAGCTCTGTCACATCTGTGTTGCGGAGCCTCAAAGATAGTCAGCTAGAATGCCTTGCTCCTATATATTTAAAGAAAAAATGATTCATGAAACCACAGAACAGTACTCTCACCTCTTATAACTGAAACATCAACATATAAACTAGAATGCTTTTAGCACCTTAGACCAGTACTTGGACTCATATTATATTTATTTTGCCATACTTTAAAAAAAAAAACATATTTCATTTTAAAGTGAGAAATAAAAGGAAGAAGGTAGTATCAAAATTGGCACACTAACCCAGATTAGGAACCTCTGAGTCATCAATGATTTCCTAATATCGCACTTCACTTTAACCTAAAGTGACCTTGGGAATATAGGAGAGAACGACGAGAATAATATAAAAAGAATTAAGATATTAAGGGATACAGAAGATATAATGTCTAATAGGAGTCCCAGGGAAGAGAACAAAGAATGAAGTATAGCATTTAAAGGGATAATACCTATGACTTTTCCCAGAAACTATTTTAAAATGTGCGAAGCCCCAAATACATGAAATAATTTATCTCAAGGAAGATAAATACAAAGAAATCAGTGCCTAGGTCAATCACGTAGTAGTGTAATGCAAAAGAATAAAGATAAAGATTTTAAAAGTAGCCATTACCATTCTTTTGAGCAGATCATATACACAAGAATAGTAATCAGAATGGACAGAAGACTTCATTAGCAACAAAAGAATACTGAAGACACTGGAAGAAAATCTTCAGTGACAAGAGAAAATAACTAGTATCCTAAAGCTGTGTACCTAGCAGAACTGTAAGTCAAGAACAAGAGTGAAAAACATTTGAACATATGCCAACAGGGAACCCAATAAAAGGAATGCTAAAACATGTACTTCAGGAAAGACTGTCTGAATTAAAAGAATGGTGAGCAAAGAAAATGGTAACGTCTATGCAAACCCAAATGAGTGCTGTATGTATAAAACAGAAACAACAATATATAATTTGTGGGCTGAAAAATAAAGAACAGAATAAAGATACAAACAATAAGTGTTGGCAAGGATATGGAGAAAAGGGAACCCTTGTGCACTGTTGGTGGGGTTACAAATTGGTGCAGCCACTATAGAAAACTATATGGAGGTTCCTCAAAAAATTAAAAATAGAACTACCTTATGACCTAGCAATTCCACTTCTGAGTATTTATCTGAAGAAATCCAAAATACAATTTGAAAAGATAAATGTGCCCCTATATTCAATGCAGCATTATTTACAATAGCTATGATATGGAAGCAACCTAAGAGTCCATCGATGGATGACTAGATACATACACTAGATGGATGTAGTACATATATACAATGGAATATTACTCAGCCGTAAAAAGAATGAAATCTTGCCATTTGTGATAACATGGATGGACCTAGAGGGTATTATGCTAAGTGAAATAAGTCAGACACAGAAAGACCATATGATTTCACTTATATGTGAAATCTAAAGAACAAAATAAACAAACAAAACAGAAACAGACTCATAGATACAGGGAACAAACTAGTGATTGCCAGATAGGAGGAGAGTTGGAGGACTGTGTAAAAAAGGTGAAAGGATTAAGAAGTGCACATTGCTGGTTACAAAATAGTCACGAGGATATAAAGTACAGCATAGGGAATATAGTCAATAAAATTGTAATAACTATGTATGATGCCAAGTGAGTACTAGACTTATCAGGGGGATCACTTTGTCTAACCACTTTGCGGTACACCTAAAATTAATACATAATTGCACTGAATTTCTACTGTAATTAAAAAATTTTTAAAAATTTTAAAAAGAACAGAACAAAATTAAGAAAATAATAACATTGTGAACTAAGAGACTGTTGAGTGAAGCTTAGGTATACTAAGTCCTCAGAGTGTTCAAAAGGAGGTTAAAATAATGTTTGATTTTGAATTTTTTAAAGTTACATGTGCAAAGTACCATTCTCTAAAAGAACCAAAATAGGAAAATTCAAAAATGAAATAAAAAATAAAAACTTGATCAAAGAAAAGCTAAGAAAAAAGTGGTAAAAAGCAAGATAAATAGAAATAATATTAAGATGACAGAAATAGGTTCAAATATATCAATACTGCCAGCAAATGTAGATAGACTAAACCTGCCATTTAGAAGACACAGATCACCAACTAAAGCACGACAAGAACAAACACCACTCACAGGGCTTCCGTTCAATACTGTGCTGGAGGTTTTAGTCAACACAGCAATACAAATAAATTACATGCATAAGAACTGGAAAGAAACAGAACTGATATTGTTGACACAAAATTACTTTTAAAATCTATAAATAGATTATTAGAAATACAGTATCCTGGGGTAGAAAGGACTTAAACAAGACACAAAAAGTGCTAAATATGAAAGACTGATAAATTCTACATTAAGAATGTCTGTTCCTCAAAAGATACCATAAAGCAATTTAAAAATGAGTCAAAAAATGCAAGAAGGTATTTCAAAACATTATCATCTATATTCTAGAATATATAAAGAATTCCTACAAATCAATAAGAAAAACAAACCACTAGAAAAATGGACACAGGTATTTCACAGAACAGGACATGTGCATGGTCAAATAAGCAAACCAAATGATGCTGGATCCAATTATTAATTAGAGAAAGGCAAAGTATGACCACAAGGAGATGTCACTTTATATCTACTAGTTTGACAAAGATCAAACATTTGACAATACCAATGTAAAAGTGATTATGGATCAGTGGGATCAACTAATGATGGAAGTATAGATTTGTGTACCACGCTTTGGAAAACAATTGGCATTATCTTGTAAAACTGAACATTCTCATATGCAACAACCTAGGAACCCCACTTTTAGTTACGTTTCCTAGAGGAAGATTTTACATGCAAGAGAATAATCATACTAGCACTATTTCTAATAGCAAAAATTAGAAATAAGTGTTTCATCAACAGGACACTGAATAATTAACTGTAGTATATTCACATAGTCAGATATTATAGCAGTGAAAATAAACTATTGCTACAATCACATAACATGGATAAAACTTAAAAACAAAATGGTGAGTTTAGAATGAGAATCCCCAGAACACAATGCACAGATCAAAATAAAGCAAAACTAAATAATATAAAGTATATGAAAATAAATGTATATAATAAAACTTTTTAAAAAATCAAAAGAATGATAAATATAATTCAGGAGAACAGTTAACTTGTGAGAACAAGGAGAATGGCATAGGGGAGGAGAACATGGGTAAATGAAAGTTACTGATACGATTCTGGTGCTTGAGTTCTTAACTAATCATTATATCATTATGCGCTATAACTTGAAGCATATATTCTTTTGCATGTATCATAATTTAGTTTAAAAAGTAAAAAAACAAAAACAAAAACAAAAACCACCTTTGCCTACTTAGTGGCAGAATTTGGCTGGAAGTCAGGTCCCAGTGCTGTTCTTTCCATTAGATGTAAAACACAAATCTCATCATGTCAATGTCAGGTTTTAAATTCTTTAATGATGCCACAGCACCATGTTAAAAAAGACCAAATTTCAAGGCATGACATTCAAGAGCATTCATAAGTTGAACTTCTTCAGTCTCTTCTCCTGCTATTCTCATAAGGTATGCATTCAACATCATATTCAACTTTTTCAGTCTCTTGAATATATCCTGTGCATATGCCATTCTCTTTGTCTGAAATGCCCCTCCTTTACCCCTTTATCCATCAAGATTTCAAAAGAGACAGTGAATCTTTCCAGGGACTCCAAGCAGAGTGTCTCCTTGATGCCACCACCACACTCAAAACTTACTGAATTTTCTTATCTGCTTACATGTCTGCCTCCCATAATAGATTGTGTGGCAGACAATGTCTAGTATCTTCTCAACATTTACTTTCTCCTTCTCTCTTATTAACAGATCTCGACCCTGTACAGTGTGGCATGTGTCCAGCAAAAAACAATTTCCCAGCTTTCCTTACAGCTAGGGGGGTCATGCATGCGAACAAATTCTGGTCAAAGAAAGGAAAAATGAAATCTCATAGGTAGAACTCCCAGGAAAGCTTTTTTTTGTTTAATACACATATTACCTTTTGCCCTTTGTCTTGCTTGGAATATGTATGGGATGCCTCAGGGACTAGTAGTCATCTTATAGGCATGAGGATGAAAGTGATAGAGGTGGAAAACAGGAGTCTGAAACCTTAAGGGCACTGTGAAGCTCCTGTACCAGCCTTGGACTACCCACCTCTGGACTTTTACATGTGAAAAGTAAACCCACTACTTGTTTTAAGATTCTAGCTGGGTTTCTGTTTCATACAGTTTCATACTCTAACTAATAGCCACTATGACTAATCACAGAGTAGAAATATTGCCTTATTTTCCTTCATATCCCTCGAATCTAGGACACTGCCTGTCCAGGAACAGGTGTTCAACAAATATTACTGAAGGAATGAACAAATCACAAAAATCATCTACCTTTAAAGTATTCTAAGTATTTTGAAAATATCTCAATTTGAATAATTTTAATTCAAAGATAAACAAAAGTGAAAATAACCAAAACCAAATCCCTTTTAACTATTTGTATTAATGTAATTATAACCAAGAAGTAAAGGCAGACATCTGAAATATTCTAATTAGTACAATTAAAATCTTAACATAGGATTTTGACATCGCCAATGTAATTTCTAAAAAAAAAAAAAGAGTAACTATTAAAATGGTGCTGGTTTCTGTAATACATCTAATATGTTCTAAAATGTTAAATATAAAAATAAGGATTTAGTAATTAACACCACTAAACCATCCTGTTTTAAATATTTGCTTGGAAGTATGTAGAACCCTTTAAATCATACTGAAATACATAGACATGGGATTTCATAGGAAACTAATATTTATTTTTAAAAGGTCAACATATACATCTGAAAACATATTTCTGGCAATCAATAACTTTAAGATAAAATACATTAAATTTTTTAGCAGTGAAACTTTAAAGTAGGTAATTATAAATGGCTTGTCCTTCCTAAATTATTGCCTGAATTTCTTCAAATCGAAAATGAAAATGAAAATCTTAAGCTATTTTCATGTCGCTGTGAGGACTGAATGAGGCAGCATATGATACAGCATTCATTGACACACTCAGTAGAGTTTAAGAAATGCTTATAATGTGAACAAACCTGTCACTTTAAACATTGTATCAACATGGTCAAAATGAAGGGACCGATCTGGTCAGTATTTAAAACAAATTACGATTAAATTCCACTTTTAATAATTTGGACTTACTCCCCAACAAAAAAGAAACCATTCTTCCCCACTGCATCTCCCCAAGGCTTCCTATGGTGAATCTTCAAGAATGTTATGTCAATCTTCACTTGTAGGTTTACATTTTATGATTAAATTAGACACTCAACCTCTAAACATTTTATTTTGACAGTAGTAAAACATCCAGAGCTATTTTTCTGTAAAGTCTGGCAAAACAGTATGTTTTTTATTGTTAAGGGTTTTCTTAACCTCTGCATTCACAGTAAGATAACATTACATTTGAGAGTTTAAACTGAGGTTTAGGGTTGGTTTGTTCGGCTTAATCCCATCAAATGATAAAATGTTTTAAAATCTAAAGTAAATGATTTATAACAAATATGGGTTGTTTCTAGTGAAAGTAACTTGGTTTATCTGGAAACTAGTATTTCACATATACAGAGATTATAAAGACGCACAGAGCCCAAGATACTTCCTGTGGTGCAATGAAGAGCCAGAAGTAGGACATGCAGAGAAGACTGACTCTAGAAATCTGTTTGTTTTATGATTTTGAAGGCATTAGGAAATAACTTTAAACATTTTTGACGTAGCACAGAAATATATGACATTTTCTACGTGACTGGGAAGGAGTAACAGAAATTTTTTGTACGAAACTGATTTTAAGCCTTCAGCACAAGTGTGGACACTCTGAAAACAGATTTTGAATTGTACCTCAATAATTCCTTTTATAGTTTTTTTTCAAGTGTTTCCATTTATGTGCTTTCATTGGATCCTTTCAATTACCAAATAAGGTCATTATAAAGAAAAATGGCTCAGAAGAATCTTCAAACTGGGGAATAATTTGCTGTTGTAACCATCCAAAGTACTGTGGCAGCAGTACTCCAAAGAGCAGCACCTAGGGATGTCTCTCTCTATTAAACATCAACAAGACTCTTCCAGGTCTTACGCTCTGTAGTCCTCTGTGTGTCACACACACACACGATTTCTGTCTATCTCTGCCTATCTTTCTTACACACATACACAAGCACACACACAATTAGAATGATAAAGCTTACTAACATGTATGTTGATCTCAGAGGTACGAACTATACAATTAAGCTAATTAAGTCTAGTATCGTCACTCGCTTTACTTGGTACTAATTAACACAAGTCAGACTCCAAAAAAGTGTCATAAACTTTCTTTTCTAGATGGTTTACATTTTTAACAATAGCCTGAGAGAAGCTCTCTCAAATTGAAACTGTTTTGGCAACTGCCTAATACTAACTAGATAGTTGTCTTGCCTTCTAATCATATATGGTATACAAACAAAGCCATCAAAAAGCTGGGAATAAACCTAAAGCTTTTAGAAAACTGAGAAAGCATGAAGAACTGAGTAAGGTGCAAGGGAACATGAGAGGTAGTATGTACTCCTGTTCATATTGCCAATTGTAGTACTTGGACAAGTAAAGCAACTCTTTTAAACCACTATTATTAAGAACTAAGCTTTTCACTCTAAGAGAAAAATAGAAACATAAAAGAAAAGAAAGAAAATCCCTGTAATGTTAAACCTGAATTGGAAGCATCCATGTGAACTCATGATACACACACGTGTGCGTGCACACACACACACACACATGCACACACACACAATTTTTCTTGGCTCTGTGCAGCAAAGTAATGATATCCAAGTAGTAATAAATTTACCAGATCTTGATTTCTAATATCATTTCCCAATAAAAAGAACCATGGCTCCTTTGAATGACTGATTCTAGGTCTGGGGCAGGAAAAAAGTGCTATACCAGAAGGAATAATGAGGCCATGCCACAAAAGACTCGAAGGGCTCCCACTGGCAAAATCTGAGACAATTCAAGCATCAAAAAGAATACAACCATGATGGGGGCAGGTTGGGCAGGGAGAGGACAAAAGAAGAGGAGAGAAAGGAAAAGTTCTTTATGTAATAATGCTCACTAACAATGTAGAAGAAATAATAAAATTAAAATTTCATCATTTAGCAATCCTTGATGTAATTACTGACTTAGGAAACAGTCATCAATGAATACTAAAACCACTTAGTGAAAAGCAGTCGGGAAATAGACAGTTCATAGTCTTAAAGCATTACTCCACATATTACTAATAATTTCAAAGAAGAAAAAAATCTTTATACTGGAGAGGTCTGGCAGTCACCTTTAACTAATTAAAGTTATCATCAATAATGGAACAACTTATATTATTTGCCATCTGTTTTGATGCAATAAGTATACCACTTTCCCTATGAATAGGGTAATCATACAATTTATCAGCTAAACAGCTTCATTTCTGAGAGTAAAAGGGAATACTATTAATAATTATAAAACAATAGATATAAACTGGAATTGTCATGAACAACTGTGGATTTATCCTTATCTATAAGTATCCTTGCAAAAATATTTAAACAATCTAATAATAATGAAACCTTCAGACAACTGATCTATCCTTTTCACACAAGTCTAAGTCATGAAAAATAAAAACAGAGAACCGTTCTACATTAAAAGAGACTGAAAAGGCATAATCAAATGGAATGTGACTTTTCATGCTATGTCAGAGGAAAAAAGCTACAAAAGATATTTTGGGTCAATTAGGGAAATGTAAATTTGGACTGTATATTAGACATTACAGAACTTTTGTTAATTTTCTTAGAGTAATAATGGTATGGCAATTATGCAATTATTCTTAAAAGGTATATACTTAGGTATTTAAGGGTGAAGTGTAAGGCCTGCAACTTCCTTTCAAATGGTTCAACCAAATATATATAGTTGTTATATACATATATCTAAGTACACGCACACATATAATAGAGAAAGAGAATTAAAAGCAAATGCAGCAAAATGTATGGGTCATCAATGCAACTCTTCTAAAAAGGTTTTGAAGTTTTATGGAATGAAAGCTGAGTGAAGGAGCAATGCAAAAAACAAAATTTTTTTTCTTACCTTGAAGTCTCTCATCAGTGAATATTTTGTTTGTTTGGTTCCAGGTGCTATCTATAAATATAATTTTCTTCAGTGTTGTCACTTTGCACTTGCTGTCATTCAAATCCTGTTCTTCAATTTTCTTGCGTTTAATAGATGGCTTGTCAGGGTCATCATTTTTGCTTCTAACATTATTCTGAATCCTTTTTTGCAGATGAAAAGAAATATCTTTTATTGAGATAGACTTAGGTCCAGGGAAAACAAGTGCAACCTAAAGCAAAGAAACTTAAGTTAATAGTGTATTATTATAATCTTCAAAATGAAGAAATTCTGACCGACTTAAAACTTTAAGAAAAAAATTTACTGAATATCTGAGAAACGATCATTAACTTCTACTATATGTGCTTCTTTAATATGTATGGTAAAGTTTTTGGCTTTTCTCTAGTAAGTTATAATCATAATATACTACCTAAAAGTATTACTTCAAATAAGTTATTCACCTGTTGATAGAAGCTAAGTTAATTGTACCTTGAATCAAAAAAACTAAACTTTAAAATATTTTATAAAATAAAAGGCAAAGTATGCGATACTCTGTAAAAGAACTATTGAAAAGCATTCAATAATTAAATACTCTTTTCACCTATATAATATGCAAAGACAAAACAAATGATAGTCAACGCTGGTAAGAAAATGGAGTAATGGGCCTTGATAGCCATCACTCATGGCGGGTTTAAACAGTAAAATTCTTTGTGAAAGCAATTTGGCAACTTAAATCAAGAGTCTTGAAATGTTCATAACCTTTGGTCAAATAATTTCACTACGAGAATTTGTTTTAATAAAATAATCCTAAATACCCACATGCTCAAGATACCCAGAATATTTGTTAAAATATATTTATTATAGTGAAAAATTAAAACTGAAAAATCAAATTTTCAAGGAATAATTCTGTAAATTATGGTACCACTTTTCTTTCAGCATTTTACTGAGACATTATATACTGCTAGAGCCTCCAATCTCTGAATAGCTCTTGCCACAAAACAAGAACCCAGTAAATATTTGTGAAATGAATAAATGTTGGTAGAATTATGGGTATTTTGTCCCCTGTACTTTTCTCTAGTTCCCAAATGTACTTTAATAAGCATAATTTTTAATATGAAAAACTAAACATTACAAAAATAAACAAAAAATCTTGAATTTATAAACTTTAAAGTTATAAAAATTTCTCAAACATTCATATTGCATGCCAATATTTCCCTCATACCTAATTAGCAAAGTCCAGGGTTTCTTAATTTTCTTGGATTATAAGCTATCACATCTCCTTATAGAACTTGGCACTGTGTTCTATTTAATTAACACAAATGATACCTAGCTGACCAGAGAAGGAAATACAAATATATTCCTAGATCTCAAACTTAGATATTTACAAACACAACTTTCTATATAAACTCAACCAAAAAAATATATTGATAGGAAAGGAAAAACCTACCAAGTTCTTTCCAGAACAAATGAGTGTATTAATTTTTTTGTTTCTAGATTAACCAAATGGTCCCCAAGAGACCTAAAAGGGTTTAACGAGCTTCTCTAAGAAGTATCCCAAGCCTACCTGTTTTTGAGATCTACTGCAACATTACTTTTCAACAAGACTAGTAATATCTCACCAATGTGAAATTTCAACTATGTGAAAAACAATTAAGAATCTAGAAATGGAGCAAGGAAGGCCTCTGAGCAGAAAAAAAAAAAAATTTACAAAGGCCATATACTAAAGCTCTTAATTTAGGGAGAATCCCTGAAAATCCTTTTAATTCAGTCTTTCTTCTTTTGGAGAAATTCCACCATTTGTAATCTCGTTTCGCTGTTTGCATCAAATTAGACCATCTACAAGTAGAATAGGCAGGAAAATGGAGAGAGGAGAAAGTAAAAGTAAGCATAATAATACAGGCCAAGAATAAAAACCTGAAGAAATAATGCAGAAAAATGATAAAAAGTAAAAAGACAGACAAAAAAGCCTAACAATCTAGGATCATTGTATCTTTTCAGACACTAATGTAAACTGTATGTTGCTTAGTGCTACATAAGGATAACCCTAGGTCATTATGAAAAATATTAAATTGTGTTCAAGTAGGTTCAGAGAGGCATTGGAATTTAAAATTCATTTTTAGATTCAATGTGAAGAGCTGTAAAAAATAAGCTGCCTACTTCATGGTCCTTTTCTTCATATTCCGGAATACAAGGGTACGTATAAATATTTACAAAGTCAGGTGCTAAGAGTTTTGCATGTACAGCAGTACTTTTGCCATCTGTTTCATTTGGATGTTTAATGATGTCGATCTTCAGTGGAAGCTAAAATTAAAAATAAATAAATAAAACAAATGTAACAATTCTAATTTTTATGTTAATAAAAATGGTCTTCAAAGCTTAAATAAGACAAGCTCATACTACATTCCTATAAATATACTTATGGTGTGCAAGTCATACTTTTCTAAACCAGAATATTAAAAATGATGAGTCATAAAAAAAACTTTCTCGATATGGTTAATCATGTAATAGAACTATTTTCAACTCATTTAACATAGAATCTGCTCTTAAAACCAAGCTCTAACATCATTTTTATTTAAGTTACATAAGCAGTGAGTCCGATTCTTTGCATTTCAGTATTTGTGACAAGGACATTTTTTATAATTCCTATAAATTTTAAGTTTGTTCATTTTATGATATAGTAAAAGGAAATAAAAGTATGGATAAAGCTTCATATCTAAAATTCAAGTTAAAATTTTGTTCCTTATACATCCTTTGAAGTCAAAGGTATTATCTTTAGCTGTGAATGTTACAATTCTCAGAAGTGGCCTTTAACAGCACGAATAAAATAATTATCAACTGAAAAAATAGCAACGGAATAGATCTAGGAGGCATACTCTTCATATAAAAAATAACTCTTCAAAATCATTTTGCTTATTTCCCTTAAAGTTTCATTATTTAATTGTTATGGGTTATGTCCTGCCTCTATGCAAAAATAGCATTTTCATGCATTTCTCGAGTTACATTTTTCTATTATTTCACTGACATGTTTGGTTTAGTTTTCTGTATAATGTCTGTGCAAGTCCTGCATTGTCATGATTATGAAAATAAAAGCCAACTAATATCTCCCCTTCTATATATAAGAAACTTTCAGATTCTTCACTGTAGATTTCAAATGACTTATTTGTTATGATAAGCACTCTTCCAGCTTCCACCCTCCACTAAACAGGCAGGATATTAGGTATTTACTCTAGGGCACACAGCTATTTTACCCTGAAGTACAAAACTATTTCTCTCATTTATTTATAAACAGCTTTATTAAAGAGAAAAAATTGATACAATAAACCACACACACTTAAAAGTGGACAATCTAATGAGTTTTAACATACATTTCACCCTTGAACTCATCATCACAGTCAAGATAATGAACATATTTGTCACCCCTCAAAAGTCTTCTTGTGCCTTCCTCCTTCCCATTCACCATCAACTACCACCCACAGTCCTCAGGCAACCCGTGATCTGCAATCACTATAGATTAGTTTGCATTTTCTCAATGTCTATATAAATGAAATCACACTTTTCATCTAACTTCATTCATAAAATAATTATTCTGAGATTTATCTATGCTGTTGCATGTATCATTAATTCCAGAACTATTTTTTAAAGGAGCAGCTGCTGCATGCTACTAAATAATCTCAGTTGCATATATTTTATCTTTCTAGATGAGCATGTGGAAAAAGGACAGTGTATACCCCAGAAGGGCCATAAATATGTATCCCAAATAGTTTTCAATTTAGCATTTCAAACCCCATGTCTCCTACCTTCCCTACCTAGGCCTAGTGAACATTTGTAAGTTGGGGCCAATTGCTTTAAATTTGCAAACCAACTTCTAGTTAGAGAAAATTCACCATTTAAGTATGAAGTTCACAAATGATTTTACATCAGTCTACTTTTGGCTGAACTCTACATCAGACTTTCCTCATGATGCTCAGTCTCTGTTGAACTATATTCCCTTTTCCCGGGGTCTCTCAGTACCAGATCGGCATTAGCTTAGCCCAGGAAAGGTAGAAAAGGGGAAAGAAGAAAGCAGATTGTGACAAAGTATTCTACTACCAATAAAATTAACTTTCTTATATGGCTGATGAGTAGAGCTGAAAATTCCAAAGGTGATCACCAACATTTCTGATCAGCTGGCTATCTTTGAAGGATATCATTTATATCAAGGACACAGAACTGAATGTTATTAACGTATTTTACAAATCATGTACCTAGCCTATTATGGACTAAAATGTACAAGTATAAGACAATAACACAAAACTTATGCTCAAAAAGTATTCCTGGGACCTAATCTATGTATCTTTAGTTCTCTGTGAGTTAAGCCTGAAATTTCTGATACTATGAAACAAAAGCAGAAACACAAATCGAACCATGAAAATATGTTTATGAAAATATGTTTATGCTCTAGTTCACACATTGTCAAGGAAGACACCTCTTTTACAATGACAGGGTAACACCAGCAGAGTTGACCAGATGCAGTACAAGTAGAGATGTTCGGCTTTCAAACATATATAGAACATCAATTTGTTCCCTAACACCTGTATCTCTATAAAAGATTTACCACAAACCTTTCTGCCCTATTGATCAAAATGCCATTAGCAGGAAGCCCTAAGCCTTTCAACCATGTGATTAGCAACTTTCCCAAAGGGAGCCTTTTAAATTCTAGGACTCTAATAAAAATGAAGATTTTTTTACCTTATGATTTTTCTCCTCTTTAAAAAAAAAAATACCAAGAGCACTTTTTAAATGTTTGTGCTTTTCTCATGACATTAAAAAAAATCATATTCTGCATAAGAAGACAGGTATTTATAAATTATTCCCTAGACTAAAATTTAAAGCTTGGGAGGTACTTACTCATTATGTTGTCATCTTCCCTTCCCAAGCAGGCTATCTAAAATCAAATGCTAAATGATTCATGAAAATAAAAATAAAGTTGAAATTAGGAAAAAAATTTGTAAAGTTTTATTATCATTAATAAACATTAACATCAAATTTTATATGTGGCCTTTAAAATGATAAACACTTAAGAAAACTGTATAGTTCAGTAGGCCATTTAGAGTAGATCAAACACTGGGCATAGTGTTTTGAGTCATTTTTATTAAATGGTGGACATTAGACCACTGATTTGGAAAATAATACTCTATTATTAAATTTCTATGACAATATTAGCCCTGCCAATATATTCTTAACTTTTACTATTCTGTTCTTCAATCTTTTCTGACTACAACACATCTTAAGATAAAACTTTTAATGGAATACTTTCTTTATATAACTAGAAGATAGAATAACTCTGTATATACTTCAAAAATCATACTTTGAAATGTAACATTCATATAAGATATTGGGAAACTTAATTATTTTCCTCAAGTTCTCGGTTTTTCTAAAGTAACTATAAGGCTGACTAGAATCTACACTTACTTATTCTTGGCCAGTAAACTTCCCAATGGCCTGTAACTGTGATTTCAGACCCCTGAGAGGTGATCATGGACTTGCCAAAATGATATATAGGCTAAAGTGAAATTCAAATATGAGCGTTAAAGTATTCTTATTACTTCAACTTTACCAAATCTTAGAATCACCACATTAAATGCTTTTAGTTACAATTAATTTTTTTTTACTGGCCAGTTCTAATGAGGCCATGTGTAGAGTTTAGTCAAACTAAAATCCTAATACGCAGCAGTCAAATATTATACATTATTTGATTTATCGCTAAACTTCGGTCACTGCTAGACAAGATAATATATATGTGATAATTTCTTTGATTGCTATGTAGACAAGATGGTCTACAGATCTTTTACCTATACAAGAGTAATCCTGGTAAGCAACAAAAAGTATAAAGTAAACAATCAATTCAAATCAATTTTAAAAATCTGGCTTTAAATCACTCTATTTATAACATGCCCAATGAAGTCTTAGTCTTTTCCATTTTAGTTCAGTTTCGTTTTGGTCACGGACATGTGCTCCATTTCCACATACAGAATGGGGCTAAGCCTATTCTACAAAAGCCTAAGCAAAAATCAACCCTAGCTCCTTTAGTTAGGTGTTCTCAAAGAAAAGTCCAAGGACCTAGGATAGTTTTGGAAGCTCCTTCAGTAGTCTATAAACTTGTCTCTTGTATTAATGTTTATATCACATTTTTTTCTATGTTGCAAATGAATTATAATCATTAATTTAAAAAAGTACTTGATTTCATTAAACACAATACCATTCATCTCACACCCAAGTGTTTTGGCAATGTGTCTCTTTTTACAGAGAGAAGAAAAACAAATGGGTTCAACAGTCTGTAGGATTAAATTTTCTATTAATATAATTCATTTTCATAATGATGTCATTTACCAAGCTTATCAATTATATTAGAACAGGCAAATATGAGACATCTTTTTTAAATCTATTTTCCTACTTTCAAACCATTAAAGTTCTCACCAACCTTCACAAGTGGCATCTGTTCAATGGGTACATTTTCAACTGGGACGTAGCATGTATAGCAGTAGAACATTCTTGAACCACCACATTTAAGACATTTTGATCTTCCACTTTGCTGAGCTTTCTGAAGAACTTCTTGAGATGCTAAGCGTAAGTTTTGAAGAGGATCTTCTGCAGCTATGGAAGTAGTTTGGGATTGTTGTAGTTCCACAAATTTTGAATTACTTTCTTCCCTTTCTTTGAGAAACATAGGTGGACTGAGAGACATTTTTCAAACCAAAGTTTAACATCTATTTCTAAAACGCATTATCATAGGTGCACTGAAAAAAAAAGTAGGGGGTAAAATAAAAACAGAAAACATTTTTACCCATTGCCTCCACAAAGAAAATTACTCAATTTAATTCACTGTGCGCTGTTTTTAGAATTATTAACAAAAGCTAACAAGTTTTTAAACCACTAAATTAGCATACTTTAAAATACAAAATTAAAATATAATAAACTCAAAATAATAAATTACTCTTTGGGGCCATTCCCTCCATAAAAATAGAAAAGTGCTCTTCTATAAAAACTATTTCAAATATAAAGTTTAGGTACCAACAATCCATTTTCAATGACTCTTTGTGTTCCAAAGGCAGCAATTTGTTTTATATTAGGAAAATAATGGTTTAATGTTAGCATCAGACAGGAATGTCTTCAATATCACATGACATCTATTCTCACATTGAACTCTAAAGAAAATATAAAGTTCCAGTGAAATCAGTAAAATTTAGTTTGTTATGTTCGAAAAGATATATTCCTCTCCAACTTAAATTAAAATACACATAAAATATAACTAAATATCCATTAATGTGAGATGTATCTACTACCAATTAAAGTTGGCAAAATATTTCAAAAGGTGAAATATGTGCCCAGAAAAATAAAGTATGATCTTATAAATTTAAAATTTTACAGGGTAACATTAATGTTCCACTCACTGTAAGAATTCCCATTGCCTTCAAAAGTATACACCATTCAGATTCTTAGTTCTAGAGACAAAATAGTAAAGTAACTTTCCGACTTAAGTATTTCCTTCAAAGAAGAATGAAGGCTGCCAAAACTGTTATTCAAATACTCTGTAAGCACGATATCTTTTGGGGAGAAAACTGTTATTCAAATACTCTGTAAGCACGATATCTTTGGGGGAGAAAAGGCTGCCAAAACTGTTATTCAAATACTCTGTAAGCACAATATCTTTTGGGGAGAAAAGGCCCTTTTAATTTGATATGCATTCCAAAGTGGTAAAATGATTCTCTTATTATAAAGACTTATGGCATTGTGGTGTTTAACTATGAGGCTCCAGGCAGTTTGAGTACAAACACTGACAAGCAAAACACTGTGACTGCAACAGGAAACTTTCTGTGGTATCCCAAATACAAAATGACAAAAAGTCCAGTGGAACATAATATACAAGATAATTTACTAATAAGTTAGTGATACTAATTTAATTATTCATCAGGAGCTTTTTATAGATTGTAAATCCCAGTGAGCTTGAGATCCAAAAAAAGAAATGCAAAAAAAAAAAAGATGCTGGTCATTCAAATAAAAGTGAAATACATTTGCCAAATTTACCAAAGGGGAAAATCAAAATACTGCATGATAAATATTTTTGATGTGTACTTATTAGGCACGGGTTTATATTTTGAGTTTCTCAGAGAAAGTGATAGTTCAGAATGATAGTCCAATCACTTTTTCCTGCCTCACAAATGGAAAATATTTACTCCTGGCCCCCCACACCAAGCCACTTACCTAAAAATGGTTTCTATCTTTGTGACTATGCCCGCAACAACTAAGAGAGTGCAGGATATTAAGATGCTCATCTACTCCTGGCCCCCCACACCAAGCCACCTACCTAAAAATGGATTCTATCTTTGTGACTATGCCCTCAACAACTAAGAGAGTGCAGGATATTAAGCTGCTACCTTTTTTTTGTTGTTGTTGTTTCAGATCATTTTAAGATCACATGAATCTTGGACCTTATCCATAGAAAAGGCATATACAGACACAATAGTTTGATCACAATTTCAGGTGATGTGCAGATCTCTAGAGTTCATCTACAGATCCAGGTAAAGAAATCCTAAGATCGAAAAGTCATTCTAAAAACAACAGCAGCCTTAAAAGTCTGGGAGGAGTTCATATCAGTCTCCAGAAATCAGAGCTACAAATCTCGTTGGCCAATGAAGGGTCAACTGCCATAGACAATAGAGGTCTCATCAAATGCACTTAGGAAGCTAATTAAGATTTACCTAAATTCTCTTGGTTTGGGTTTGTTCTAGTATTGCCTGAGGTCCTTACAGAGAAACATTTTTAGGCTGTAGTAATCTTGAGTTACCTCCATTATGGGGCTCATCCTCAAAAAAGAAAGTGGACTGGACTAAATTCAACCTGACTCCATTCCCTGGAAAACTACTGGTGAGTTTTTCAAGGGCTCTCAAATGCACTCCTCCTGAGATACTTCCAAAATATCCCCTCATACTTGGGCTTCCATCCATATAACAAAATGGATATTAGTAAAGCCTTATGTAAATATCATTCCTCTATAAAATCAAATAACATAAATGCCTGTGAGACAGTGAAAGGTAAATGTTTATGGCTCCCTCCCCTGCCTCGCCTACATACTCTCACTTATGACTGAGGTGGCTACACACAAGAGGCCAGCAGTAGTAAATCATGGGCAACTCCCTCCAAAGATCTCTGAAACTATGCTACAGCATCTGTCCTGACCTAGCCAATAGCCTGCTTCAAATGTGTATAAATTATTCGTTGCAAACTTGATGATTCAAAACCTTCAAAACATACTTGTTAACATCAAATATATGCAGGGAAATACAAGTGGAGTCACAGGAGTTACATAGAAAACATAAAAGCCTTTATCCCAAGGAACTAATGAATATTTTTATCTTGATGGTGCATCCATCATTCTGCAACTTAGGTTGAATGAAACGAATTACTCACCAAGTTGCAGTAATTCTGCCTTGCACATGATCCTCTATTTTTAGTCTCAAAGTCAGGACTCTAGGTAGTCTATGGTAATCTCTTACATCTCTTTACCTTTGCTCACTTATTACTGGTTCCACATATTTAACATGGAAAAATGTACCTTTACTTGGAGTTCTACCTAGCAGACAGTGAATTGTGCGAGAGCAAAATTCTTTACTGATCTCATCTACCCCTGTGTCTTATGCAGCAGGAGGAAGTCAATAAATACTTTTTTAATTAAAACAAAACCATTCTGAAAAAAGAAAACATGCAGTATGCATCTTGCTATTGAGGTAACTGAAAACTGTAAAAATATCTGTAAAAATGCAGCCTGGCAGACCTTTTTTTCAAAACAATACTAATAGGAAAGGCTCCTAGCTCAAGTTGACTCACCTCCCAAAGGAACATTATATAAAACTCTCCTATCTTGTATTGTGGTTTTATATAAAATCTACTTCAATTTTGTTTTCCTGTACTATTTTTAAGAACCTGGTCACATATATATAGAGAGAGAGCTCCAATATCCATTTTTTAAAATCCAAGGTGTTTTTGGAACCCAAGGTCCTGTTTCATACAGGACCAATGGCCCCTCCCAGACCCCCCACCGTGTAGTAGGCAGTCTTGCCTTAGTTTTTCAGAGTACACTGGGGTTCAGACACAGGTAATCTTTAAATATGGTAGTTTTGAGTTATGCAGCGAATTTATCACCCAATTCCATGGAACTGGCACCTTAAAGTGTTAATGTATTTTCCCCCAAAAATTTAAACATAAGAAACAGCTTCCTTTATTATATAACCATAATCAATATTTTAAATACCTCGCTACATGGCACACTGCGTCTGTGCTAAGCTTCTCCTTCCGTGATAACCAATACCCCTTAAGCCACTCCAAACACTAGAAAAGAAAAAATAGGTTTCCTAGGGGACTAACTTTGCCAGGACAGAGTTCTCTTCGGATGGAAAGCACCGAAAATAATTGTTAGGGGAAAATTTTTTTGAGAAAAAATTCGGAAGCGTTTTTCCCCAAGGGGCCTGCAAGATCCTAAAAATGCAAGCGCCCGAGAGGGACCAGGGCCCCGTTCACAGGCGACAACCCGCACGACCTCCGTTAGGGCCCGGCCTAGGAGAGTCCACTCCCCGCAGTTGCACGAATCCAGACAGACCACTTAGTCTCCAGAGAGGCGCAGGAGAGGATCGGAGTGGGACTCAGACCTGCACAGCCCGCGGGTCCTTGCTCAGCTCCCGCGTCTTCGGCTCCGCCCGAGCCCGAAACGCGCGCCCGACCGTGGTCGCGCACGGACGCGACGGAGCGCTTTCCGGGCGACACCAGAGGGAGGAGCCCGGCCGTTGCTAGGACCGTTGCTAGGGCCGGGCGTGGCGCAGGTCCCGCGGCGAAGGTAACGTGCGGGGAGGACCGCCGGGAGGAGTTAAACGGGAAGTCCCGCCTCAGCCTCTCAAGCCACCCGCGGTGTCGCCACTCGGAGAGACGAGACCTAGGAGCAGGACCGGGGTCGGCGACGCCGAGCCTCACACCACGCCAGCCCTCCGCTGAGTTCCCTCCTGGGACTGGCCGTGACTACATGTATGGGATGCAGTTCTCGAAATATACTCTCAAGGTGTAGTTGCAGGAGGTTGTGAATATGCTGATGTTACAGAACACTTTTTCATTTTACCAATCCCAAAAGTATTTCAATCGTGAGAAGTTGGTTCTATTACTTTTTTAGGGCTATATCAAGATAAGTATTCCTTGCGGTGTATAGCTATTAGAAAAATTGTATCTTGATGATTTATTTTGATTAAAAACTACATATGCATGTAGATTTGGGATTACTTTGTGCATTTTTCCAGTTTGAAATTATATGTAATATGTGGCTAGATGATTAAACCATTTTCTTTGCCTCACTTCAAAGAAAATCCAAACTTAAGGAGTGAACGTTAACAATTGCGAGATTTAAAAACACAGTGGCCAGATATTGAGCTATGTATTTGAGTAATACAAATTTAGCAAGTGAGAGATAAAGGACAGAACCTTGCCCTGGAGGAGCTAACCATACCGAGTTAAGCATGGGTAGTACAGAAAATACAGTATGACTAACATTGTAGGAATACTAAAAGAACTCAGAATGGAGTGGTCAATGAAGGCTTATTGGTTGGACCTGAGTAAGGCCTTGAAGAATGATTATGGTTTAGAGTAGTGTTTTTCAAGGAGATCATGTAGGACACATTGGTGGAGTAAGGAAATCTATTAAGCCAAAACCACACTTAAAAAAAAAAAAATGAAATAGTATAGTGTGGAAATACCGGTTCGTGGCACTTGATAAAGTTAAGTATTACTTTATGGAGTTTTAAATTACTGTAAAATATAGTAGCTTAAAATAACCATTTTATTACATTCATGAATTGTGCATTCAGTAGGGCACAGAGGGACAGGTTTTTTTTGTTTGTTTGTTTTTTTAACTTAGCTGGGAAGACTATGAATGCTAGCAGAAGTTCTATGCATGGCCTCTCCATGAGGCCTGGGCTTCCTCACAGTATGGCAGCAGGGTAATCAAATTTAGCTTAGGCCCAGTGCTCCAAAGTCAAATGTTGCAATGAATAAGGCAGAAACTACATGTTCTTTTATGACTTAGCCTGAAAAAGTAACACAGTGTCACTTCTCTCATATTCTTTTGGTTATAAATGAGTCACAAGGCCTGTCCAGATTTTAGGTGAAGGGACATTATGCCAATTCTCAAAAGATTGTCAAAGAATTTGTGGCTATATTTTTAAAAGCCAACATAGCAAATTAATTGCTGTCACAGAAACCCCAAAATTTCAGTGATTTAATACAGTAAACTTTTATTTCTCACACTCACAAAAAATGCATTATGTATGTTACTAGTCAGATAAAATATTAGGCTTAAGGATGTGAGTTTTAATTTTAGTGGTTCTGCTGTCTCCTAAGATTTGGAGTCCACAGCTTATCTGACAAGAAAGCATGGTGAATCACACAAAACGTTTCAGAGGTCAGACCTAGAAATGACATATATCATTTTGCCCACATTTCATTGGCCAAAATTTAGTCCCAAGACCCCTCACTTTAACTTCAAGGAAGCCTGGGAAATGTAGAGAAACATACACATATTGGTGAGCACTAACAGCTTGCCACATTCTAGCTGTTTAAACAAAACCCTGTTTTCCCCCTTCTTCTCTACTCTATTCTCAATTCTCTCAAAAGGAAAATTCAAGTTTTTAAAAATATTTTTTTCTGTTATTTACTCCATATTTTAAAACCTGGTTACATTGCAATTTCTTGATTTTTCAATGTCAGACATTATTCATTGACTTTCTCCTGTGGAGGTCAATGATAAAACTCTTTTACACCACCCCTAAGCATGTGAACATTCCTTCTCCACCTACCCCCACACACTCTTCTTATCCCCTCATCTCTCAATATAAAATTATTGCAGTTTTTGTTTAAACCAACATTTGTAAGTATCAGTCAACCCTGATCATGTTAACTTTTAATATAACCTTTTACTTTCCTTTGTCTCAATGATTGCTATATTTATATGTACTTATTTGCAATCTGCCCTCAGACACTCTGCCAAAGTGATAAAACATCATAATCAAACATATCAGTTTATCTAGAAAAAATTTTTTTTCCTTTCAGGTAGTCCCTAGGGCATTACAAACTCTAGTTCATTCAGTACTGGTTGCTTTTATCAATTCGATATTGCTCTCCTGTGTTTGATCCCTTCTTACCTTTTTCTTTCTTTAATCCTTTGTTTTTATGAAACATATCCTCTAGTACCTTTCTGAGAAAAGGTAAATGGGAGTGTAGTAGATAGCATAATGACCACTCCCAAAGATGTCCATATGCCAATCTCTAGATCCTATGAATATGCTTTCTTATATAGCAAAAGAAAACTTGCATATGCAATTAAGTTAAGGATTTTGAGATGGGCAAATTACCCTGGATTATCTTGATGAGATAATCATGATCATGAGTGCCTTTGTAAAAGGGAGGCAAGAGGTCAGAGGGAAGAAAAGATGTAACACCGCTGGCTTTGAGGTTGGAGGGAGGAGCCAAGGAACGTAGGTGACTTCCAGAAGGTAGAAAAGGCAAGGAAACATTCTCCTCTAGTCTCCAGAAGGTACATAGTCCTGTAGACCCACTTCATACTTCCGACTTCTAGAACTGTGAAATAATAAACCTGTGTGGTTTTAAGCAGCTAAGTTAGTGATAATTTGTTAACACCAGCAATATGAAACTAATACAGGGAGAAATGGTGGTTTTCTTTTTTTCACTACCTTGCAGAGCTGAAAAATGCCGTACACTTAATTGATGGTCTCCCCATATTTAAATTTCTAGGTCAAAATCATTTTTTTCAAATAATCTTCTAGATTCTTATCTTTTGTCCTCTGATTCTTTTCTTCAACTTTTTTATTCTAGTTTCCAGAAGATTTCTTCAGCTTTCTCCAGCCCCCACAAACTTTTTGTTGAATATTTAATTTATGCCATTATATTTATACTTAAAAAAAATTCTCTATTACTTTATAACATGCTGTTTTGTTTTCAGGGATGCATTACCATATATCTTTCTAAGAATCTTAAAGATATTTTAAAAGTTTCCTTCTGTTTCCCATATCATCTGTATGCTGTCAGATTTCTATTTTGTTGTTGTTTTTATCTTTTTAAAAATTGTACAGTTATTCCTTAAATATCTAGTAATCCTTGAATTTTTATTCATATCGAAGAATAGGATTAAAATAGTGACAGAAAACTCACTGTGTCTGAACAAGGATTGTCAAGCAAACAGCTTCATAATAGGGTAAGATTTTACATTGTGAGATTCTCAAACATCTATAGAATAAAAGGCACTAATGACTATAAGAGCAGAAATCACTGTGTCTGAACAAGGATTGTCAAGCAAACAGCTTCATAATAGGGTAAGATTTTACATTGTGAGATTCTCAAACATCTATAGAATAAAAGGCACTAATGACTATAAGAGCAGAAATCAATGAAATTGAATTTGCACTAGAGAAAAGCAAGAAGGCCAAAATGGTTTTTGAAAAAATTAATGAAATTGATAAACCCTTAGATGGACTGACCAAGAGAAAAGAGAAAACTCAAAGTACAAATATCAGGAATTGAAAAGGAAACACCTTGGAGATAGTAAAAACAATAAGAGGATATTAAAAATAAATATTTATGTCAAAGTATTTGACATTTTTTATTTTTCTTGAAAAACACAATTTACCAAAACTGATGTAAAAAGAAATAGATTATCTGAATGATCCTATTTTAATTCTGAGAAATTACACACGTATTAGTCTGCTCTGGCTGCCATAATAGAATACCACAGTCTGGGTGGCTTAAACCAGCAGCCCTCAATCATTTTGACACCAGGAACTGATGCTCCAGTGAGAATCTAATGCCTGATGATCTGAGGTGGAGCTGAGATGGTGATGCTAGTGCTGGGGAGTGGCTGCAAATACAAATGAAGCTTTGCTCCCTGCCTGCTGCTCACCTCCTGCTGTGCGGCCCAGTTCCTAACAGATCACAGACCGGTGTTGGTCTGTGGCCCAGGGCTTGGGGACCCCTGGCTTAAACAACAAAAATTTATTTTCTCATAATTGCGAAGGCCAGAAGTCCAAGATGCCATAAGGGATGGTTTCTGGTGAGAGCTTTCTTCCCAGCTTATAGATGGCTATTTTCTCACTATGTTCTCACATTGCCTTTGTGCATGCCGGGAGAAGATAGACCTCTCCGGTGTCTCTTCCTCTTCTTATAATCCAACACTCCTATTGGATTAAGGTCCCACACTATGACATCATTTAACCTTAATTTCTTTCCCAAAGGCCCCATCTCTAAATATAGTAGGTCATTAGGGCTTCAACATAGAATTTGGGAGGGGAAGGAAGACAAGTCTATTAACAATATTCTTAATTTGAAACTCTCCATAATTTCAGACTTAGGTAGCATCATCCATGAGGTCTACCAAACATTTAAGGAAGAAATAGTATTGATCTTTTAGATTTCCAAATTCTTTCAGAGAGTAGGAAAACTAGAAACATTTCCTAACTCATTTTTTTTTTTTTTGAGGCCAGAATAACCTTGATTCTAAATCTTGACAAGGACAGTATAATAAAATTCAGGCCAATATTTCTTATAAACAATTTGACATAGATCTAGTGTGGTAAATGTTCCATGTTCCATTACTTTAAAAGATTGTATATTCTGCAGTTGTGAGGTACAGTTCTATAAATGTCAATTTGATTAAATTGCTTGATAATGTTGTTCAAATCTTTTATCTCTTTACTGATTTGTATGTGTATACTTGATTCATCAATTACTCAGAGTGTTAAGATCTCCAACTATAGTTATGGTTTTGTCTGTATTGACCTTTAGTTTTATCAATTTCTGGTACATTTATTTTGAGGCTCTTTTATTAGATGCAGACACATTTAGCATTGGTATATTCTTTTAATGAATCGACCTATTATCTATATGAAATAATTTTATTTGTCTGATAATACTCCTTGTCTTACAGTCTACTTTGTCTGATATTAATATAGACATACCAGTTTTTTTGTTATTTGTGTTTGCATGGTTCTAGAATTTCCATTAGTTTCATTAGAAATTCTGTTTCTCTTGAAATACTCCATTTCTTCATTCGCTATAATCCAATGTATATTGTAAAACCTTTCATATATTTATAATAGTTGTTTTAAAGTCCTTGTCTGCTGATTACAATAACTGGAATCTCAGTGAATTGGTTTGTATGAACTGTGTTTTCTCTTGATTAGAGGTCCCATTTTCCTTTCTCTTTGTATGTCTTGTAATTTTTTTTTATTGTGTATTAGACATTATGTGGGAAAAATTGTGGAGGTTGAAGTTTAATTTAGTTTTGTTTAGTTTTCAGAGAGCACAAGTCTTTTTCTCTCCTTGGCATTTAAAGTGAGAGGCTGATCTCTTGGAATCCTCCCAGGTTGGAGTTGAGCTTTAAGGTTAGCTGCAGCTTTCATTAGATCGAGTTCCCCTATGATTTGCCCATCCTCCAACCTCCCTCTTCATAGCCACTTCTTGTATCTTGTCAGTGTTGAGTTGAGACTAGTTTGGATGAAAGTTTTAGAGTAAACTCTGTCAGAGCCTTGGAACCCAAGTACTATAAGAATGTGTTGGCCTATATAAATTCTCTAACTTTCTAGCCTGCATCCAAGGCTGCTTTTTTGACAAAATTCAGAAGTAAGATGTCAGGGCTGGGAAAGAATTGTTTGGCTGAATCATTGGTTTTTGCATTTGGGTGTCTTTCAGACTCCAGTTTGTTTCCCCAGCTCACACAGACAACCTTAAGGCCCAGCTGATTCCTATTCCCTGCAAAGTTACTGCACCTTGGCAGGCCATCTCAATCCTCAACAAATGTGTAGATCTCACTACCAGATAAGGAAGTTTGCTGCAGCTTTATGCTCACTTATAAAGGGTATGTTTCTCTCTGGATTTCAGGATATTAAGGTATTCAGGTAGGGCAACTTCATGGGCTTGCAACCTGTGCAGTTGCACAGAGCCTCATGATTAGAGGGCCCTATACCTGATTTAATAATCTGACGTTACCATCTTAAAATTCTTAATAATTTTAAACAAGGCATTCTGTATTGTACTAATTATGTTTCTGGTCCTGCTTACTGGCGTCTGCCCTCTTCAGTAACCCGGTAGGAAGGTAAGGTTATTATTTGGTTCAGATTTTTCTTGTTACCATGGAAGCATAGATGTTTTGCATCCTTCTACAATCTACCAAGAGCCTCACCTCCTTTTACTAGAGAACTTTGGAATTGTATGTTGAAATTACCTGGAACTTTCCTGTACAAGTTTCACTTTCTTAATTTTCTAACTTGGTTTCATTGAAATGTGGATATTGTTTTTAGTGCTTTGTACTGGAAGTGCTTTGCACTAGACAGCCATTAGAAGAAAAAAGTTGTTTATAGTGTAAAATTGTTTTAATTAGGTTTCTTTATATTCCATGCATTTCAAAATATATAATAACTTCTTTCTAGCTAAACACCTATACTCACTATCCCTGAAGAGATTATATCATGAACATTTTTTATCTCTAGGCATTCTATACATACCGTCTCTCTTTTTTCTTACCCTTCTCAATCTCAGTAGGCCTAGAGTCCCATGTTTTCCACAGTTTTCTTGACAACACAATGCATCTTTGCATCTGAACACGTTTTTATGCTTTTTTTTTATTGTATTATCTGCTGCCTATTTATTTAAATTCATTATGTATTTTAAATAATATTAAGAGAATTAAATATTCCCTTCAACTTCAAACGTTTAATTATTTTTACGGAACATGGCCTTGTGATTTGTAATCTCGATCATTTTATCCATTAATATGAAATATGTTTAGTAAATTAAAATGTAATGCAATCTTTTCAGACATATCATCAGACCACTAGGGTATTATAATAAGATATTCTAGATTCTTCTTGTTTTTTTTCTTCTTCTCCTTGGTTTTTCATTTTCTAGAATTTTTTTTTCTTATTTAAAAATTTTAAAAGACCTACACATTTCTCTGACACTCATCTACCCATTTATGCATTAATTAATGCACACTGAAAGAACTTATTATGCATCAATCATAGATCAGCCTCTGTATGAAGTTTTGAAAATTCAGCAGTGATAACACCATAGTTTCTATCCTAATAGAGATACAAATCTGCTTTCTGTTACCATAGAGACTCTTTTGGGGAGACAAGGAAGGCTTCCTAGAAAAAAATGACTTTTAATTTGATATTTGAAATGAGTTGCAAAAAATGAAATTGGATCACTTCTTACACCATATACAAGAATTAACTCAAAACAGATTAAAGACTTAAATATGAGACCCAAACCATAAAACTCCCAGAAGATAACATAGGCAGTAAACTCTCTGACAGTGCTCTTAGTAATATCTTTTATGATGTATCTTCTCAGGCAAGGAAAAAAAAAGAAAAAAGAAACAAATAGAACTACATCAAAGTAAAAGGGTTTTTGCACAGCTAAGGAAACCATCAACAAAACGAAAAGACAACCTACTGAAGGGGAGAAGATATTTGCCAATGATACATTTGAAAAGGAGTTATATCCAAAATTCATACAACACCAAAAAACAAACAATACAATTAAAAAAAAATGGTCACAGGACCTGAACAAGGATTTCTCTAAAGAAGACATACAGATTGCCAAAGATATATGAAAAGATGCTCAACATCACTAATCATCATGGAAATGCAAATTAAAACCACAATGAGCTATCTCACACCTGTCAGGATGGCTATCATTAATAAATCAACAAACAAGTGTTGAAGAAGATGTGGAGAAAAGAGAACCCTCATGCCCTATTGGTGGGATTGCAAATTGGTGCAGCCACTATGAAAAACAGTTTAGAGCATCCTCAAAAAAAAAATAAAAACAGAACTACCTTATGACCCAGCAATTTCACTTTTGGGTATTTATCTGAAAAAAAAAAAAAACCCACAAAACACTAATTTGAAAAGGTATATGCATCCCTATATTCAATGAAGCATTATTTACAATAGTCAAGATATGGAAGCAACCTAAAAGTCCATCGATGGATGATTGGATAAAGAAGATGTGGTACTTATATACAATGGAATAGTACTCAGCTGTAAAAAGAATGAAATCTTGCCATTTATGATAACACAAATGGACCTCTAGAGTATTATGCCAAGTAAAATAAGTCAGACAAAGAAAGACCATATGATTTTACTTAGATGTGGAATCTAAAGAATAAAATAAATGAACGAACAAAACAGAAACAGATTTAGACACAGAGAACAAACTGGTGATTGCCAGATGGGAAGGGGTTTAGGGCACTGGGTGAAAAAAGTGAAGTGATTAAGAAGTACAAATTGTTAGTTACAAAATAGTCACGGGGATATGACGTACGGCATAAAGAATATAGTCAATAATATTGTAGTGACTACGTATGGTGCCAGGTGGGTACTAGACTAATTGGGGATCGCTTTGTAAATTATATAAATGTATAACCACTCTGCTGTACAGCTGAAACTAATATAAAATAATATTTAATGTCAACTCTAGTTTAAAAATAAAAGTTAAAAAAAAGAAATGAGTTAAATAGGCCAAGAAAGGTTTGGAGGGGAGACAGTTTGAGACAGAGACTTTTAAACAGAAAGAATAATGCATACATAGTCTCTTAAGCAGAGGAGCAAGATGTGGTCTTGATTAAAATCAATTTGTCTAATGAACGAATATACATTTTTAACTTACAAAAAAACTACTAACAAAATAGGATTATTACTTATTACACTGAAACATCTAAATAAGGTATTTTCACCATGTCACTAATGCGACTTTTTTAAATACTTTTTTAGCAAGAGGAGCATGTTATTATATTTTTGGCTCTGGATTTATTGTAGACATCATCCAAAATAGTCCAAAATATCTTGTGACTCTGGTAGGAATTCAAAATGACATTCAGAAGGATTCATGTGGAGCTTTTCTCTAGCATTGGTGTATTAGAGGGAAGTCACAGAATTTGGTTTGGAGGCTCAGAATTTAAATGGTGATCTGTGATACTTTTCGAAGTGCAGAGATTTTAAAAAGTAAATATTTTACAATATCTTATGGCTCTGAAAATTATAACTTAAGTTCAGTATATTGTCTATTTAAGTTATGTAAAAGCATCATAAACGATCTGAATTTATGTTAATGAGCAATATTGATTTTATTCATTAGAAAAATGCTAAAACCTCCAAAGAACATTGAAGAATTTTTAAAGATTCAAAACTGGGTGAGTAGAGCATCCTATTTTATGTGCCAATACATCTTTTAAAATATCAAATTATAGAGATGGAGAAGGCTTAAGTAAAGACTTTAAGAACAGAAATTCAAGAAATATACTTCAACGTGCGAAATGTTTATAAATATCTCCTTTCAGTAGGCTCTCTGTTGTAGACATTCTCTTTTGTCAATATTCTATTCTCTTTTTCATTTAAAAAAATTCTAGCCCTATGTCCTATTGGAAGAATTATATAGACATTTCTGTATAGTTTTGCTAATATAAGATTTTTGTCATATACTTACAACTTAAAGAGTATCTGACAATTATGTCTACTTACCTCATTTATCCATTCGCCACAGCTTAGACTTACAGGTAATTTGCTGAGGTGTTACATCAATATTCTTTGATGTTGAATTAGAGTAAAATATTCAAAACATGTTTTTATTTTGAAAGCTCCAGTTTCCATTAAGTGTAAATACTGATTTCTTCTGGAGTTATTGGGCTTGCTACAGATTTTCCTTGGGTTTATCAGTCTGAAGGTCAGGTTTGTTTTGCATTGAGAAGATTAAGGGCTAGGATAAAGATGTTAGTATGGAAAAAAAGAGAGAACAGGAGTCTTTTTTAAATGAGGTGTGTACATATTTTGAGTAGATTGAACTTTAATTTGCACTTACTTATGCTTAAATATAAGCAGAATTTTCTGAGACTAAACTGTTGACAATGGAGTTTCAAAAATACCTATTTTTAAACATCTATTTTCTGTTCTTATATTTGTTTAAATAAGTTTTTTTTAGATGTTTTGGAAAAGGATTGAGTTCCCTTTAGGAGTAAATAGGAAATGAAAACATTCCTAGTTTACAAAAGTTTATTTCAATCACTGTGGCAGAGCCAAATGTTTTGAACTACTTTTAGGACAAGCTTTTTGCAACTATTTTGATTGAAATAATGATGGAAATGTGCTGTAGCCTAATATCAATGTTTGGGGTCTTTTTTAATCTCAAGAGAAAGTGATTGTAGTTAAAATTAAGCCAGATTCAGCAAATAATTATGGAGACATTTGGACTATACCATCACACATGTTTGAGGACTTATATTTTCAGATTAAATTTCTAATTATTTGTAGTGGAAAATGTGTAGTCACACTGTTCAAATTAAGAGTAAAACTAATCAAATCAAGATCACCGGATTATGCCAGCCCTTTACCAAAGATAGAATAAAATAAAAATTAAAGCACCATCCTTGTATGTAAAAGACAGCATTTATATTAATATAATAGCCTTTAATTTTTATCAGATAGCATTTGGTGAAATCCAGTTGTACCATTTTGTTGTTTGTGGGTTTATCTGTAACTTTTTTCTTATTGTTTAGATTTCCCAACCAAATACTTGTATTCTGTAGTGTTTGGGTTTTTTTTAAGGTTTGACTATGTCTCTACATTGCCAAACTATTGAATATTTGAAAACACCCAGGAATAAAATGACTGAATATTTAACCTTTTGTTTGCTGTATAAAACTTCTGTCCCCAACCCCTGGGCCTCAGACCGGTACTGGTCTGTGGCCTGTTAGGAATCGGGCTGCACAGCAGGAGTTGAGCTGCAGGCAAGGCAGTGAAGCTTCATCTGTATTTTCAGCCGCTCCCCAGTGCTAGCATCACCACCTCAGCTCCACTTCAGATCATCAGGCATTAGATTCTCATAGGAGATCCAGTCCCTGGTGCCAAAAAGGTTGGGGATCACTGTTATAGACAGTAGTAGAAAATAACTTCCTCAAATTCATTTAACAAATATTTTGAACACCTACTGTGTGTCAGCAACATAGACATTTCAAATATGTCAGTGAATAAAAACAGGCAAAGATTCCTGCCTTCAGGAGCTGTCATTCTTTTTTTAAATGAGGCATATTATAAACAAACAAGTGAATAAAACAAAAGAGAAATAAAAATATTCTAAACTGCTTATGGCTTCCTGGAAAGCCTATCTGTTTAATTTTCTTTTCTCCTAAAATATAAAAGCAAAGGTATGTGCTGCATACTTGTGTAGTGGTTAAGAACAGAGGCTCTTGTGTCAGATTGCCAGATTGCCTATGTTCAAATCCCAGCTCTGCTACTAGTTAGCATTAGAACAGTACCTGGAACCTACATGTTAGCTATTAGTTTCTCATATCTTGTGCTTCATTGAAAGCCCTCTCAATTTGACCAATTCTTACCATTTCTCTTTTTTTTGTAATTTTAACATTTTATACATTTTACTCCTATCTTCCTTCTTTCTATCTCTTGTTATAGTTCTGTGTACCTTCTTACCTTCAATCATTTCTCATTTCTCCATTGATCAATTCCCACATTCTCTTCTTGTTTCCCCCTTTCTTCATTTTATCATCATTCTGTTTCGATTATTGTTTTTATAAAAATACTTTTATGTTTTACTTTTATAATATTCTTTTGTCCCACTAGTGTTGTATCGTTATCAATTCTCTTACTTATTCTATTTATTCGTTAATTTAATGATTTTTATTCACTACATA